ATGAGGTGCCCGGCGGCCGGCGCCGGCGGAGGCGCTGCGGCCGCCCGCCGCCCCGCGGGCCCGCGGCTGGTGCCCTCCTCGTCCATCGCCGTCTCCTTCGCCAGATGCGGCGGGAGATCGGCCGCGGCCGCCGCCTCGGGGTGGCGCATCCACGCCGTCGCCGGGAAAGGAGGTGGGCGCTCTCTTCTCCACTTGCTCTCTTCCGCCGGGGTGTCCATTCTCTCCGCGCTCTTGCCCTCTCCTCCTTCTCCGGTTGGAAATTCCGCAGATACCTTAGGTGAGGCCACGGGTTGGGGGTTGCGCGCTTACATGCTTGTGTTGGATGATGCAGTTGCCTGAGCCTAGCCACCCCTAGAGCCCAGATTCCTCGACTGAATTGGCCCGTTGACTTTTGTGCCTCCGAGCTTCCTCCTATAGCTCTGCCGCATTCTGCTCCTGCATTACCACCAACATTCTTTCTGCGATACTATCTGAATCCTGCCACTCTGGTGCACGGTTACCAGCCTTACTTACTGTCTAACAAATTGGGTCGCCATTCATTAATCAGAACAAGATAAACGAAGTGGGTCTACGAATTTGAGACGATTCCCGCTAGCTCTGGTAACTTATAGGTATTTAAATCCAACATCTACTCAAAATCTTAAGTAACCCCCAGCGTCTTCTTTCAGTTAGTAATGCTATTACATCTGTTCGTATTGTTGATGCTTAATATAATAACTAAGAATTGGTTCTCAGGTCAACTTTTACCTGCCTCGTTTTGATTTACTTCCAGCACATAGTGCGTGTGATGAAATCCTGTTGCTTAACTACTCCCTCCGTATCAAAATATAAGACTTTTTGTAGGCTAGTTTAGCTTACACAAACGCCTTATATTTTGGTACAGAGGTATACACCTAGATACATCCTCTTTTATTTATTTTGATGACAAGTATTTCCGGACGGAGGGAGTAGTAGTATAAGTGATACACAATGGCTGTTTTTACTCATTTTACACTCCACCATCAGTGAAAGCCCCCATGGATGCCGTGGAGAGCGCTGTTGCTCCTGCCGCCCCGTCAATGGTGGAAAATGGCAGTTCATCAATCACCGTAGAGGAATTTGAAGATTTAGCCTCCCTAGTGAAGGATGACGAGGCGTCGGTTAGCATCACTGTAGTTGGAGCGTCCGGTGACCTTGCGAAGAAGAAGATATTTCCTGCCCTTTTTGCTCTTTACTATGAAGGCTGTCTTCCCAAGGTTTGTATATTGCTCTCTCCAACCTATATTCAGATTTACCCACCTTTTCTAAGGACAATCTAAAGTATTTTCTTCTGTAGCATTTCTCCATCTTTGGCTATGCACGAAGTAAAATGACAGATGCTGAACTGAGAGACATGGTCAGCAAAACACTGACTTGTCGGATTGATAAAAGGTGCTTATCTTGGCAGACCTTGCAATCATAACTTATGAAGTAAATAAATCCTGTGTGAAGAGATGCATTTCCCTTGGTGCTGCTTTAAACTGTTCTGTTTTTTTCCTTTCAGGGAGAACTGTAGTGAGAAAATGGAAGAGTTTCTGAAACGATGCTTCTACCACTCAGGTCAATATGATTCAGAGGAAGATTTCAAGGAGCTAAGCAAGAAGATCAAACAACATGAGGTTTGTATAACCACTTCAAATGAAACCAAGAATGGATCATTGATTTTACTTGTGATGATGAGGTTACAGTATTTCTAGTTGTTTGGGATGAATTCTTCATAGGACCTATTTTATGTATGCAACTATTGATGTACTTCTGTTAGAATTGATGTATGCAACTATTTTATACTTAATCCATCTCCATTTCAAAAAATTAATGTACTTGTATTCTGATAAATTCTTGTTCTTTATATGCAGGGTCCCAGAGTATCTAACCATCTTTTCTACCTGTCAATACCGCCAAATATATTCCTGGATGTTGTCAAATGTGCAAGCAAATCAGCATCATCTGTGAGTGGCTGGACAAGGGTAATTGTTGAAAAACCCTTTGGCCGGGACTCAGAGTCTTCTGCTGCCCTAACAAAAGGTCTGAAGCAGTACCTGACAGAGGACCAAATCTTCAGGTGATACAGGCATCTAGTTTGATTTTTGTGAATTGTTCATGTTTTCTTGTATAGCGAATTTAGATATACCTCTCATTCTCATATCCCATAAATATCAAAGCAGCCTGCCAATTGGAAAACATATAAGTGGTGATATGATCCCTTGGGAATTCAAGAACATGAGATGCATCATAGTTATTTTCATAGAGTGAGATGCTTATGAATGTTGTGCTCATTTATATTTGTTATGCAGGATTGACCATTACTTGGGAAAGGAGCTGGTAGAGAACTTATCTGTCCTTCGCTTCTCGAATCTTGTTTTTGAGCCTCTGTGGTCAAGGCAGTACATAAGGAATGTGCAACTGATATTCTCAGAAGACTTTGGCACTGAAGGGCGAGGAGGGTAATGATCTGTTCGTCGTTTATGGCACCATGTTGCTTCCCTTGGATTGTCTCTTACCTTATTGTTGAAATACTCAGGTACTTTGATAGCTACGGTATTATCCGAGACATAATGCAGAACCATCTCCTTCAGATACTAGCTCTATTTGCAATGGAAACTCCTATTAGCTTGGAAGCAGAGGACATACGAAACGAGAAGGTTTGTGCCCGTTCCTTAGTAATATTAATGAAATGATATATCGTATTTTAAGTTACCGAGACATGCAGTTTTAACTGAAAAACTGTTGGTGCCTGCTGGGGACAGTGGGATGGCCAATCCCCCTCCCATTAGAAACCTGTTTTATCTTCACTCTGTTACATGCTTTACAGCAGCATACATCAATTTTGTTATTGTTACATACTTTAAAGCTGCATACATCAGTTTTATAATCTGTGTTTTATGTGAAATGAGCATACTGATTCTAAAATCACTATTTATTGATCTTCGGTATTACTTCCGTATATTCCTTTCAGGTGAAAGTTTTGCGCTCCATGAAGCCGTTGCGACTAGAAGATGTGGTAATAGGACAGTATAAAAGTCATACGAAGGGTGGTATTACATACCCTGGATACACTGAAGATAAGACGGTGCCCAAGGGTAGTCTGACTCCAACATTTGCTGCAGCTGCGCTTTTTATAAATAACGCTAGATGGGATGGAGTTCCCTTTCTCATGAAGGCTGGGAAAGCTTTGCATACTAAACAGTAAGTGCACTTCAAAAAAGTTGTTATCAGTATGATGCCTACCCTTTGCTATTCAGCTATATGTTAATATTTTGTTGAATGTTTAACTTCTAACCTGATGTCATTTTAAATATATTTTTTGTGTGTTTATTTAATTTTTAGTGGTACGCAGTTAGACCAACTTATTCTGCATATGTAAGAATGTTATCACCAAGTACATTGGCTGTACTCTTGACTCTTAAGATATGACAAAGAATAAGTTGAAGTATATTTGTATTTTTGATCTTGGATTGGTAACACAAAATTGTTTGTCTTCAAAATCTCTTTTTTGGTTTATCTTTTATGCAGTCGATCCTTACTCATGTTACAAGTTGCATGACAATTAAATACAAATTTCAGGGCTGAGATTAGAGTACAGTTCCGACATGTTCCTGGAAATCTCTACAAGGGGTCTTTTGGAACAGATCTTGACAGGGCTACTAACGAGCTTGTGATACGCGTGCAACCAGACGAAGGAATTTACCTAAAGATTAACAACAAGATTCCTGGTCTTGGCATGAGACTAGATAGAAGTAATTTGAATCTGCACTATGCAGCAAGGTGAGATGAAGTTTCCAACACTTTTGTATTTGTGCCTAGTGGGATTTGTTTATTAGGAAGAATGGAAGTATTAGTTCTGACATTGTAGGCTGTACCTAAGATGCTCATCTCTTCGCATGTAAGCAATTAGACAAAAACTGTAGTTCTAGCATTTGCTTCTTTGTTTTTGTTTGTTTGTGTAGGGCTTAGTCTGCCTTGGTAATTGTAGCTGTGGGTGAGATGTGTAGTATGAGGTGTCTGCTGGAGATTACAAAATTGGATAAAAACTTGGACATTCAAAGATTTAGGGGACATGCGAATTGGCATTTTTATTGAGCATCCATAGTTTATTTTGGAGAAACTGCATATGGTGCTTGATCAAACTCCATGAATTGGATAAACTTTTCAATTGAAAGAGTAAATCCATCCAGTTTATTACAGCCCTTGTTTATGATATGTTAAAATGTTCCCTTTTCAGTCCCTTGGTCGTAATTACTTGTGTCTTTTGAGTGATGGCCACAGTAGTAACAATTTGCAGCAGCCACTTGGTCGTAATATCTAAAGTGGTGTCGTATAAACTTGGCTCAGGTACCCGAAGGAGATACCGGATGCCTACGAGAGGCTGTTGCTCGACGCGATAGAAGGAGAGCGAAGGCTCTTCATCCGGTCGGACGAACTGGACGCCGCGTGGGAGCTCTTCACGCCCCTTCTGAAGGAACTGGAGCAGAAGCGGATGGCCCCTGAGCTTTACCCCTACGGGAGCCGTGGGCCTGTGGGCGCTCACTACCTGGCAGCCAAGTATAACGTGAGATGGGGCGACCTGGGCGGCTCGGAACACTAGGAAGAGAGTGTAGTTTCACGCGGGTGGTGATGATTTCTGTTTTTGGCGGTGATTGATTCCGCCGTCACAATTTCCGCAAAAGGCCTGCACGCCCCCAGATAGTGGGAGATGCAGGGAACAGGTCTGAATAAGGGTGAGCGGTCGGTGATGCTTGTGTTCGTCGATCGACCGTGAATATATTTGTTGGTACCACTGGCTTACATATTCTGTGATTCTTAAGAGGCGAAGCTGAGGGCAGAAAGCTCATTCATCTTGGCTGTTCATCGGCTCATTTGGTTGTCTGGCCTGGGCTGGGCTGGGCTGTTGTATTGGAACTGCTGATTGTGTAACTGCAAAAGGTGTTGCTTCTTTACTGATGCCGGTGTTCGGTTGGACATACTCGGTGGTACACTATATAAGACTTATTACTGCAATCGTTTTTTTGAGGGGATTTTTTACTGCAATCTGGACAAGTACTACCACCTCTGTACACCACGTCTTTTGCAGTTTAATTTGAACTGCAAAAACGTTTTACATACATTAGTTTTACAGAGGGAGGGAGTAGACAAACAACTCCGTATATATTATGCACGGTTGGTAGTGAATTTGTAGTACAAGATGAGCGTCATGCATGCATTCTCCTTTTGTCTAGGAAGAGTCCACTTATACATGTCCCTTTTACACTGATGCCGTAGCAAGTCGTTTATGTGCGTGGTTTTCTCCGCTCGACTTGGATGGAATTTCCCCCCCTCAAAGTCGGTCAAGACGATGATGACGCTTGCAGACTTTGCCATCATCGTCGACTTCCTCTCCTCGCTCGTTTTCGCCGAATCTGCAACCAACTCGCAAACTACTCCCTACTAACAAAGTTGGGTCATCTATTTTGAAACGGAGGGAGTACATCTGTGCTGCTGGTTGCTGCGTATGACGACCAAGTTTGTTTCACGGATAAAGGGATCATGCTGCATGGGTCGGTTCCGCATTTCCGGTGTGTGCAGCCAAGTTTCTGTTCGGTTTGTGTGCTCCATGGGCGTGTTTGGTGGCCTGCACCGGTTGGTTTTCGTCTCCTTGCACCGGGCTCTTCATTTTCTTAGGCGATTGTAGAGCTGGGTCGAGCTCGGCGCCACATTCTCCTCCTCCCCTACACACCGTGAGCCTTGATGAGAGGAAACACACCCGTTCTTAATTACCGGGCTTGGCTGGGAGTTGCTTTAAGATTCATGCCATGCAGCTCGAATAGTAAACATAACGGGCGTGAGCAAGGAAGATGCGGACTGCCAGACGCCTCCTCCTGTGTATTTCCGGTGGGTTTG